GAGAGAGAGAGAGAGCATTATATGAATATTCCTCTTGCAGCCTCTCGTAAAAAACTTTCGATATTCGCGCGAGTGAAATGCTATGTACCTTGCAATGTCATGGGTTATCCCCGGAAGTGAGACGAAATCTGCGCGCTGAATTATGCGATTTTCTGAGACGTCCTTATTTTGATTTTAATCCGACTACATTCTTGTACTTTGTCTTTTTTTTTGCCAAATGCTCGCAAATTCTACATTCTCTTTCCTAAATCCTCGCTTATTCAACTTTGACAATTTTGACGTGAAAGAAGGATGATTATTCGATCTGTGATCATGATTAATGAATTTATCAAATTTGTCTCAATTTTTTTAGAAAATTTTTCAAATTAGAAATATATAATTACGAATTGTAAAGTCTGTTGTGATGGTTGACTGTTAGGATCTCGTCCAATTTTCACAGCTATCGAGATAACTCGAGTTATTACGAGCGCCGAAGGTGAGATTTGGAAGAACAATGTTTCGGGCGCGTCAAACGCCGGGAAAACGATTTTCGCGACATCATATTCAATGGAGTAATTCTCGAGCAATTTCTCAGTGATGTTTCGGCAAATTCCCCTTTTCACGGTGAGGAAAATCTATGGCCATTCAACGATCAGCTGGAAATGAACAGTCGCGAAACACAAGCGACACCGAGGATGAAACGAAACCCGATCCGAGCGACGACGGGTGTTCCTTAAGTCTCATCGAGAGACAATTTTCTGTTCACTTTTTTCCCCTTTTCTTTCCGTCTTCTCGCGTTTCACGCCTCTCGCAAGCTGATCTCGCGATCGTTCGCCGAACCGAGAGATTACTCTCCGATGCGCGAATGACGCGACCGTTTCGCGGTACGTAAATCGTCTATATGGATCTTTACGAGGATTGACGATCGTTCGAATTATGCAGCGGCAGAGTGCACGCGGACAATCCCATTGATCATGATCTAGGATCGTTAAATAGAGAGAGAGAGAGAGAGAGAGAGAGAGAGAGAGAGAGAGAGAAGAAGAGAGAGAGT